GGGTAGCTTTGAGTGTCTTGGGGTGGTCGTGGGAGTTGGGGGCACCTTGGGGTGGCCTTGGTGGTCAAGGGGTGACCATGGGGTGCTCTGGGTTGCCGTGGGGTGCTCTGGGTGCCATGGGGTGTGCCATGGGATGCTCTGGGGTCCTGTGGGGTGCCATAGGGTGCTCTGGGTGCCATGGGGTGTGCCATGGGGTGCTTTGGGTGCTGTGGGGTGTGCCATGGGGTGCTTTGGGTCCCGTGGGGTCCCATGGGGTGCCGTGGGGTGACGTTGTGCCTCCCCCTTTCCCCCCCCCAGGCCTGCGAGCTGCACGTGGCCGGGTTCCGTTTCGCGGTGCTGGACGGGGCCTTCGTCGCCCACCGGGGCTTCAAAGAGCCCGGGGGGTTCCACGGGGGCCGCGAGGCCGAGCTGGGCCACAACCGGCACCTCTTCCGGAGCTTCCGCGCGGAGCTGCCCCGGCGCTACCCCGGCTCGGCCCGGCGCTGCTGACACCCCTGGGGACCCTCACCTGGGCACCTGAACCTCCTGGGGTCAACTGGTGGACACCTGACCCACCTGGGGTCACCTGATGGACACCTGACCCTCCTGGGGAACCTCCCGTGGACACCTGACCCCATTGGGGTCACCTGATGGACACCTCACCCTCCTGGGGGAACCTCCTGTGGACACCTGACCCCATTGAGGTCACCCGATGGACATCTGACCCCATTGGGGTCACCTGATGGACACCTGACCATCCTGGGGAACCTCCCATGGACACCTGACCCACCTGGGGTCACCTGATGGACACCTGGACTGCCCTATCTTGGACAATTGCCCCCTCCGCCCCCCGGGACCCTCTGGTGGACACCTGGATCATCCTGACCCACCTGAAGACCCCTCTGATGGACACCTGGATCGTCCTGACCTGCACAGCTGGATCTCTTCCACCTGCACACCTGGAGCTCCCTGACCTGCACAGCTGGATCCCCCCGTGCTGAACTCTGGGTCCCCCTGACTTGGACACCTGGACCCCTCAAAATGGACACCCGAATCCCCCCAGCATGGACACCTGGATCCCCTTTGGCCACTTCTGTCCCTGCACCCCTGGGTGCCGTGCCCTCAATAAAGATGTCCGGCTCCCCATGATACCGCTGGTTGCCATGGCGATGGGGAGGTGGGAGGAGCCGCATCCAGTTCGGCCCAGTGACCGCCAGTACAGCCCAGTAACCACCAGTACGGCCCAGTAACCACCCCGGAAGCAGAACTGAGGGGGTGGTAGAGTGAGAACTGCAGCTCCCAGCATGCACTGCGGCAATATGGCCGACAAGCCCCTCTGTTACCTCATTGGTTCAGAACTACATTTCCCATCATGCCCCACGGGGACAACATGGCAGTCCCCATGCCCGCCATTTTGGTTCAGGACTACATTTCCCGTAATGCAGCGAGTCAGCGCACGCCCCTACCCGGAAGTGCTGCTCCTGTCTGAAAAACAGCGCCCCCTTGTGGGTTGGGGGTGTAGGAGGACTCTTAATTGGGGGGCCCCCGGGGGACAAAAAGGGTCTCGGGGGGAGGGGAAATTTTGGGAAGGGAGGGGGTCCCTCTTTGAGGGATTTTGGGGGGGATTTTTGGGTCAAAATCG